CTCTTGTCCTTTTCTGTGGGGTGTTGTGGCGATGGTCAAATTTCTTAGTTTTTATCAAGGACTGATCTTAGCTAGAAAACCATTGAAAATCAAGAAGTAATGGAAAATGTTTTCGTTTAATATGAAACTCTTCAGTGGTATGCATCGACGGCTCCATTAGGGATCGAAGTCGAAACCTTCAGGTCTCGCGTCTAACCTTAAGACCTTTAAGTCAGGATCCAATGGTTTATGTCTAACTTTAATCAGTTTGCAATACTGTGGAACCATCATTTAGTGTCACTGGTGATATTTGTCAACATCTGCTAATTAATACAGAAGAAAGGAAAATGAGAAAAAGGAAAACAGGCAATTTTTAACTAATATTTGAGTGGATAAATTTATTGTTGAAATCTTAGTAGAATTAGCTACATAGTTAATTCTGTCCGTAGGTCAGCAGCAACAACTCAATCATCCTTATAGAAGTAGGTTTATTTAAAATCCTGATAATCTAACCTATTACCGTATGTTGCTTATCCGTAAGGACCGTTTTAGCAAATTATTGAATAAATCTTTTCGGTGTTGATAGCTCATTGAGCTTAATCCAACTAAGTATTTGACAACACTTTCATCATAGCATTGGGCTCCTCGGTGTAGCGGTAAATAAATCCCTAAAATAAATAGCTCTGTAAGTTTTCGACATTGGATGCTGACCATATGTTTTAGTGGACTCATCTAGCTGAAGGCGCTCGGTCAGGCATCTGCACCAGATCACGTGTGGTAACGCCGTGCTCAACATCAACCGCAATCGCTAGCCAGATTAGATCAGAGAATTCCGATATATTGGTCATCGCCAAATATACTCTTCCGATCTCCTCGACTCTGTCTTTTGATTTCTCTGGGCGGGAACGAAATATATTAGAAGGTGTTACTGGTAGAAGCGTTGTCAAACACTGAATACCTGTGACACCATCATCGGCATTCGCCATTCATACCGATCCAGGGTTCTAAACCAAGATCTTGACGCCTCTTAATGAGAGTTTGGTCTTCATATCACTGAGTTAGCATTTAATTGTTTGTATTTCTAACTCCAGTCAATTTGCACAAATTTGTGACCATCACCCGATTGCATCAGTGATATTTATTTCACTCTTGACATAGTTAAGCTCTATTGGTCATATATTCCAACTATAATCTCGAGAATTAACTTTTAAATTTGATTACAAGTAAGCTCATAATTGTGCCTAATTTTATTAACCCTCGAACGTCTATTTCATTCTAGTTTCAGCACTGCATATCAACTGATCTACGTGGTATGGAATCGACCACATTCAAACACTACCGTATGCAAGGCATAGAGAATATACATAACTGAGGCAGAGAACAAATGTCTTGTGATTAGTGATTATAATAGCTCCCCAGCCTGAAATTGGAACCTTCATCCACTTCCGAATTTTAAATAAGGCTTTTGTTTGCTCTGCACAATGAATACAATGGCATATTTAAAGAAGTTTGTTAAAGAAGTAAATTACGTTTCTTGATATTACTATTGTAAAGTTCAATTTTAGTAATTCTGCATTCATAAACATTGTCAACAATCTTAAACTTATGTTTATATATTTTTGTATTGCAAATAGTTAATAGATTTATTTTGCTTAAGTGTTTAAGAGGATGTTTTAATTACAGATGTATACGATATACTGAGTCACGGTGTCGCTGAATCACAAAATAATATTCGAACATGAATCACTTTCGATGCAATATACGAAGATGTAACATATGACTAATACAATATTGGTTCATCTTCAAATAATGACGTTTTCAGTTACTTATTTTTTTAAATCTAGCGGTAAATGTTAGTGCTTATCTGGAAAGAAAATCTTTGTCTGAAAGATTTATCAAATGTCAGTACATCACCTCTACTATTGCTCGTTAATTTTCTTCCACCTGTAACAATGAGAAACGTTTTGCACTATCAGGTATATAGTACTTGTCAATAGTATGAAATCGAGCGCAGAAAATGATGACAGTAGTGGATGTGAATTATAGTAACTACGGGGATTTTGCACTATTTCACTTCAAGTCATTCGGACAATAGAATATTAACAAACTACAGCCGTTATCAAATTAGAGTAACCAAATAGGAAGTGAAAACCTATAATATCGTAAACAATGTTAGTACAAACGAAACCCGGTCAAAACCGTTAGCGAATACGCGCTAAATGTTCTGCGGATATAGTTGAAGATGAGCTAATACTCCTAGGGAGAACGGCTACTCTAAAAAGTTTATGACTGAATATATGATCACGAATTTGAGAATAGGCAAAATACAAACGGTGATGAAGAGATCTCTATTCATGAGCCTAGAATTCAGAGTGGATGCGGCTAGTGAAATATTAACTGAGATTACACAGGACAATACAAAAATCTTTCAACACGGAGAACTACGATGAGTGTTTTCTACGCGCCCAGTGGTGACACCCAGGCTAAAAGATGAATTACCTAGAATGATCACTCCATTTTGTATTTGTCAGTTCGACTGCTCTTGTGGAGCATGTTATATTGGTCGAAGTTCTAAGAATTTATATTTTCGTGATCGTGAACACTTCCCAGTGTGGCTAAACAAAGGTTTGGTGAAGAAAGTGAACAGCTAGATATTGGCCCACTTAGTACAAACTGGTGATAGTGTCAGTATAAACTAATCCTTTTCGATGTTAGTTTTAACAAAGCCAAGTAAACAATTAACTGCACGGAACTAACAATCGTTATTTTGAATTTATGGTAGTTTTTACCTTTTGTATACAAACAGGTAAAAACAATGGTTTTTAAACATGGAAATGACATCAAATTCATATATACTCAATTATGTACAAAACTCGTATATGGATTCTTTTTGTCTTTCCAAGTTGTTGAGTTCATTAAAACATTTCCTAATGATTCAATTGTGATCAAATAAATGAACTATTATTCAGCTGGCCATAAACGTAATTGACGCAAAGTTTGCTTTGTGTGCAATTTAATATTCTTCATAATAGTTCTGTGTATAAATAAATGCCCTTATATATTATAATTTAACATATCTTTATAAAATTTAAAAATAATCCCCATCACGAGTTGAAATTCTCTGATAAACTATTTAATGAGAATCTTTGGTCGACTATTTCATCCTTATATGAAGCTTTAGTATATGTACCGCCGAAGCGAGGTTATGAATCTTCATCGACTGAGATGGTTGGGCCACGTATTACGTATGCCTGAACACCGATTACCACGACGTGCAATGCTAACCGGTGTTCTGGATGGTTGGAAGAAAGTTAGGGGCGGCCAAACCAAAACGTGGCATCAGTGCCTGAAGTCACTAACTTCTAGTCTGAGCCATGTTGGTAGATGCAGACTACTTGGTTGGGGTCCGCGTGACAATCGTAACCAATGGTTGGAGACTCTTGGTGACATGGCTCAGAATCGATCACAATGGCGTCGGTGTATGCACTCCCTGTCTTCCCTTAAACTAAGAGATTAAAATCACTTCATATCTTTCTTTCTACGAACTAATTCTTTCTTCCTATACTATATCCTTATTGCAATCTTTCTCCTATATATTACCACCTTTGACCTAACCACTCCTATGAATCCGGTGTTCATCTTGCTGTGCTAATGAGGTATGGCAACCTGGACCGATGCACATATGTGCCTGGTCCTACGTTGTAGCTGACTGACTGACTGACTATATGAAGCTCCTCAGAGGCGCCCACGTATATGAGATCAAGACCGTGACCCTGAAGCTTTATTGATAATATAACACCTTTGAAAAACTGAATTAGATTCAAAAGGTATTCGTAAAGGTATTTGTAAATAACGACCAACCAAAATTAATTATTCCATTGAAAAAATATGGCTGGATTCACAGTATCACAGTTCTTAGAATAACCCAAATAAAAAATCAGCTAAGTGTTTACTTACTTCATTTCATCTCAATTCAGAGGGCTTCATTATTCCTTAAATAAAACACTGGAATTTTATTCATAAAAAGGTTTTTAACATACCTTATTTCCACTGACTTCTTTTCATTAGCTTATATTTCTATTTCCGCGTTATAATATATATCAGAATGCTAACATTTCCATACCAAACATTTATAAAAGTGACCATTACTGACTGGAAGATTTTATTCCTCTTCCTGGTCTATTATCATTTCGTGAAACAAATTCACTCTGGTGGAGATGATCATACATCTATAACGATATTCTTCAGATTTTATAATTTAATTCTTTCATTAACATTAAATATTCCAATCTTATAATGAAATCAAATATTAATCCTCATGAGACCTGTTGCATACAATTGCACAAATACTAATTTTCGTCTCTTCTACGGTGAATCTGTAGCCTATTCAAGTTTTCGGCGGCTAAAATCAACTGCCACACAGCTTGTGTTTTATTTAGAAAACAATTTGACTTGATTACTCAGCTTTGCGTAGAAATTACCGTTTTAAATTATGCTACTTACCAATAGTAAGTAGTATAAATATATTAACTCTCGGTTAACTTGATTTACAACCATTTAGTAGCAAACAATTCTTGGGATAATATCCATTTAATCACTCATAATTGGTTTGAGCTTTTCAGGCTCAAGTAAGCTCCTGGGAGTAGATGTTAGATATTACGGTTGAATGGTACAAATTCAGTCGTAACAGCGTAAATTTATTCGACTACCTCATGTTTGTACTGTACTTTCCCATTATTTTAATCGGGAATTAATTTTATACATCGGTACTTATTCCTGATTAATTTTATGACACTTTTAAGATATTTACCTCGAAGACAGTGTAGTTAATTACTTAAATATTGATGGTGGAAATAAGCGAACATTCCGTCCAAAGCAAAGATAGCAGCTAGTGTTTTTTTATTACTAATGATTGCGCATATTTCAAATTCAATAGGAAATCCATGATCAAATAAACCCTATATACAATCTTATAAAACAGAATAAAATTAAGAACTATGAACAACAGGAGAACAATAGATAAGAGTAGAATAATCAATAATTTTATTTAAATAAAAAAGATGAACGGTAAAAAATGAGTTCCATATTTAGAACAGAAACATCCAATTGTCTAAAGTTTAAAAAAAGCTATTTTTAAGATTTCAATTATTCCGAAGTTGTGTAGGAATACATATAGACGTTTGGAATTTCATGCATTGAGGGGATTATAATGTATTGCATATTAATATTTTATTTACTGCAAACAAGTATTAACATTTTCCATGTGAAGAACTTCGGTGGATAATTGTTTGAGCATTTAGTGGATTAGAAAGTTGATATTCACTTAGTAGAATAATATAAGAATCATCAAACATAGAACCATGAGTATCCATACCGCCGTGAATAAATAAATACTCTTGACAGTATTGATCTTTATCATTGTTATCTTCATGCTCATCAGTATTAACGATATCATCGTGATATTGATTATCTGAAGAAAATAACAGTAATAAAATACAACAATTTAAGAAATCGAATTCCTGTTACCAGGAAAAATATTTCAAAACACAAAGGTTGTCATATATAAAGATGATTTATACGGTAAGTTGAAAATCGCCCAGTATTAGACATAGTTTAATAGATAGGTGACAAACGAAATCAGTCTATTGTATCCCCTTTTTACTTCAAATATGAACATTCGAAGTAGAATTAAGTTAACTAATTGTATCCATTAGAAGCAGGATTGTTGCATCGAGATTAAAAAGTAGGGAATGTTGGTTGAAAGTTAATTTAGCTGTTAAACCAGTCAATAATCATCAGTAGGACTGTTCATGTGCATTTACATTTAAAAGCATAACAGTACAAATCACAACATATTTACGTTCATTTACCAAACTATGCACTAAGTAACTTGTATATAAGAGTTAATGGGGTTACATATTCCGTTCTATCTATATTCCAAAATATTTTCAGGGCTTTAGATATGACGTTGCAAAAACAAAAAATACTTGACGCCATTTAAGTGCGTTTAATGCTTTCTACTAACTTTTTTCCGAAACAGTGTACACAACGATGTTGAGTCACTTGACCAACAGAATTTGATCAACACAAAAGACTAAATAATAAGAAACTGAGTACTTTTAGATGATTTATTTAAGTAAAACACTTTAAAAATTCAGGAGCCTATTCACAGTGATTCAATTTCTACAACTAGATAACAATTAAATTGAGAACCAATCATTACAGTATAACATAAACAACCATTAATTAATTTAATTACACAATACTAACAACCACAAAATCTAAATACTTTAGCCTGCTAAAGTCAAGTTAAACATAATGATTTATACATTCAACTTACAACCACTAGACATGAGCTTCGTACTCCTGTTTGAGTAGACGGACGGTATCACTTGCTCTACCCCACATTCAGTACGGCTAGCAGTCAAGCACACAAATATGCATTTGTCAAGTAGCCTAACGACAAAATTTAATCACCACAAGTCTTATTTTAGTGAAATTGTATAGGTAGATATTGGTAACTACTTAGAAATCATGTAATTGTATTAACTTGATCATACCTATAGACTGAAATTCATTCTACCACTGTCAGGAAATATACACGGATCTCAGTGATATATATATCATAGAAAGTATAAATACCTTTTGGTGATTTAAATATAATTTTCATCGGTGAGTTTTCTTTTGTATCCTTCTTAACGATTAATGAGAATGTACAATAAGCAAAGTCCAAACGTGGACTCGGTAATACAGAAGTCTCATATTTAATTTCAGTCCATTGTCTAGTATCTAATTGAAAAAAAGGGTTGGACGTTAAGAAAAAAGGAAATTATTTCAATGTAAGTGAAGACAACTAGTTTGATAAAATGTGGAAATAACTGGTTTAGTTGAGGCGATGACTTGCCTATGAAACTAAGCGCTCGAAACCAGAACATGGAACATTTAGAAATACATCACTCGGTGCATTAAGACACTCATAGTCAAAGTAGAATCTGATACAAATATGTATGAGTTGATACATTCCACATTAGTACAATGAGATATTTGACTAAAGACAGTTGTGATCAAAAACTGTCATCTACACATGTCGTATATTTTCATTTTATAGGCTTACAAAAATACAAAAAGGGTTTGCTACAAAGTTTACTCTCTCCTGTGCCGTATGTGGAGCAACGTCGCCAGCTTTTAGAATCCGTTCTGAAAGTTTGCTTGCCAGTAACCCATGATAGATGACAAGACTCACGAAATGTGATTAATTCATTCCTTTTGAACGTATTAATTAGAATAAAAGAGACCCATACAAAAAATTCATTGGATTTGTATTTAAATTTTCAATAAGCTTATCCTATACACGGTTTATGCGATTGAGTTCTAAGTATAATTATGATCATTAACATTTTCACTAACTTGTATCAAAACAGAACATATCATTCAACGCTCCATTTAATGACAATCCACCAAATATTAATATTTTACTGGTATCCTGTTCATAAATTTTATTTGTTAAAATTGTTCCGCCATGAGCAGCACGTGGACTTGGAGATGGAATCTGTGTAAGTTCAATGCATTTTGGGTCCAAATATTCACACTCACTTCCCGTATTATCATGAGTAATAGTGAGTGGTGATAATTTATCAGTCGGATATAGTTTGTTCCATATACCTTTGAAGTGTAAATTATTATCAGACTGAAAATAATGAAAATAAATACTTATTTATAATTGGGTATCAGTGAAATAATTTTAGGTAACAATATTAAAACAAGTGACTACATTTTTGAGAAACTGTCATGGGAGAGGATTTTGTGATTTGAAGAACGAATTATGAATTATTATAATGAATGCGTAAAATTACTAACGACAGATGCGCTTCAGTGATACAGTGTAGGCAAATGCTGGATGTTCATTTTTGAGAGCTAAGTAATCCCCATACGTGTTTTCGTACAAAAATTAGGAGTCTAAGCCTTATCTGTTACATAACAGAGCTGATAAAGAATGAAGCCTAAGGAAATAAACAGCTGAACTGAACTACACCTTAGATTAGTTTTCAGAAATTTCAACTTGGAATAGCAAAAAAAGTGAGCCTGACAGTATGTTACTACTAATATGCAGTATTAACTCGCCAAAATCTTGAGTTTCTATGGTGACCGTTTAAGCTTATTTCCGAAATATTTATTGCCACTATTCCAAAAGAAAAAAAAAAGTGGCGAAGAAAATTCTTTTGAAAGATTTTATATTAGGAAGAACTTAGAATAATCTACATCAGCAACTGAAAATCAATAACTTGGAACTCTATTTCAATTAACATGTTATCAGTTTAAACATTCTTTCAACAAATTAAAGACAAAGAGTTCATAATTATTTACATCTGTGAATCATCATATCATCTTGATTAAACATCATTTTGATATATAAAAGCCAACATAATATAATCATAACCATTGAGCTATTATTATCTAATAAATGAAGACCACTAAAAACTTACAGATGAGAGTATTTTGACTAGCAGTTAAATATAATATTTCTGAAACTATTAGAATGTAATATTGTCTATGCTTTATTAAACAATTAACATATACAGAAAGTATTTTCTTGTATAATATCCTAATAAATTTCTCTCACTTGATTAGTAAAATTTAATACATAAATATCATCAAGTAGTTTTTCATTGACCATTCCACCGTGTATATACATTTTACCTTTTGGGATACGTTCATAATTTGAATTTGTTAATTCATAAGGAAATTCATATAGTATTAAATGACCTAATCGTGAACAAGGTGGTAAACCTTCCACTGGTATAATGTTCCATGAATTTATTTCACTATCATACATATAAACCTAAAGAGAAATAATAAGTAATTTAAAATAAATATACACTTATTTGTAGAGAAAACTTTGATTTCAAAAATTTAATTAAATATAGTATGTACATTCACCTTGCTGTATGAAACACGTTAAATTGGCTACGTAATGCGAGTGATTTTCAAACGCATCTCTGAACATTATCCTTTCTGGTTCTCGAAGTCGATTTTAAAACTATCAATAGCTCAATACTGGAATATCATGTGAACTATGGTCGCATGACGCCACTGGATATATCCTTTAGAACCATTTATAAGATCAAATAATTTGGTTTGAGGGGAGTACTAATCAATAATTTGTGCAATGCAAAGGTGTTAGTAATCCACCTTTCCAAACTTGAATTCTGTATGTAAAAAACAGACACATGCAAACCATCATTTTTCTATGGCCCTAACACTCACTTTTCACACATGGCAATTTGATTTTATTATATCCTTCTATTGTTTCTAAACTTTAATCTTAATAATTCATTATTACCACCTTCACATTTTTGATCTATCCTTCACCTTACTATCCTTCGTCAAATTCTCTATCGTTAAGCGACACTATATGATACGTGATATGATGTAATCGTTCTCCAATTTTTCAGAAGACCATTTTAATTGTAAATTAGTCATGAACATGATTGCACAGCTTGAATAAATGATATTGGCAAAAAAATTTTCTTCATTGTACTGGCTTTTCAGTGTAGTTATTTGGTAATCTTAACTGTGGACTGATTTAAGTTGTACTTTCTATATAGATCCTAATATAGAATACATTTAATTATTTAGGTTCTTTGATATTCTGGAATAAACTTATGAACAGAAATGTCTTGAAAAAAAATTAAACTGGTAAATCCAATACTAATTATCAAAAAAAAGATCCACAATCAAAAGTACACTAAATAAGCAATAAGTTTCAGAAATATGTTTACATAATCTTTTAAAAAAGTGATTCATAGTTATAATTATATGAAAATGCATTAGTGAAAAGTTAATTTCTCTTTAATCCATTATTTATAAGCTGCATTGTATAAGTTCACCTAGTTGGGCATTCATGCAAACAATGTTTTATGAACAATGGAGTCATTTGAAATTATTGCTAAGACTTTAAGATAAGTTAAGAAAACGAATATAAGTGTTATATCTCGATGGCAATAATGAATGGTAAATATTGGGATTTATTTATGAACTAATATTATATATATTCGTTTTATTATAAGCTTTATTATAACCTATGAACTATTATTATATGATTTAGCATTCTTAATTTATGCTCAGTTCATTAATTACGGTCCCCCACAATCACAGCCAATTTTGGCTTGATTTTGTGCAAATTTTCTTTCTTTACAGTGTGATGTGTTCTGTTTGGTTTATATATAAACCAAGTATGTTTGAAATAAATGATTCATATCGTGGAGGCTGATATTGGTGTTCTGGATTTAACAGGCAGGACTTGGTGGGAAAAGAACCAACCAGTACTCTAGGTTGCTCGTACTGGTGTATGAGTCATTATTTAGCGATAATCGTATAGTTAAGGGCATAACAATAAGAAGACAAGAATTTAGAGAGTTATATAATATATATAAATATTTCTTGTTACTGTGTGGTTTACCCTATTTGTGTTTACTTTATATATATGTGAAAATGTGAAAATCAAGTATAATAGTCAGATCCTAGTCCCTTGACAAGTGACCTACAAAACCCCATATGACTAAACATAGAATTAGCCTTCTTTTGCAATATTATTTCTTAGAGATATGTATTATAATATTCAACTAAAACATATTGCAATTTTCTCTATACTATGTGTTACATAAATTCAGTTTATTCCCTTACGAAATTATTTTGTTTACTAACTGGTCAATATTTATATAATACGACTGTTTAGGCGTTTTTCACACAGTTTATAAACCAGTTACATAAAGGTGTTTAATAAACTAGTAACAAACAGCAACGAATATATGGCTACACATATTTACTTATTTGGGGAGTTAGTTCCAAGACAGACATTATGAAGAATATCATAATGCGCATATTTTCAAGAAGTCGTGAAATAATGTTTAGCCATCAGTTTAAAATTTATATTAGAGACTCTGGAACCATCAGCTTAAGAGCAATACACATATCCTACCTCTCAACAAAACGATAATAAAAACAAAGATTTTTCTTTCATATATGTACTTTTCCCTATATAGTATGCATTAAATGTGGTCAAAGGAAATCAAATAAGTAGATTCAATCAATGGGTAGTTACTTTATCATCTGACACTGGCTGACTACCAACATTCCCACCAGAGAATACTATGAGTTGATTATATTCAGTTAGTGAAACAGAAGAGTGTTGTGTGCGAGGATGATAGATGAATTGTTGAATATCAGTATGAATGCGATCTTGAGTTAAGCTTGCAGTGATTCTGTCCTTTTCATAAATTGATGGATTTTCTGGAATTGATAGACAATGAATTTGTAGACGGAGTAGTTGACTCAAAGGACCTGTTTTCGTTGCACCACCAAATATTAATAATTCCTAGGAAACATTCATTCAGATACATGAACGATAAGTAACATTTTTTACCGAAGCAAAACTATATATATATATATATGATTGAATATTTACATTTTATCACACTCATTGACATTCACCATAAACTTTTGTACCGGTTAATGCAACGTTACTGTAGACATAATTTCTGAACTGAGCATTCTATCTTTTGAATCGCTTAAATGGTATATAGTTGGTTTGGGTCTTACGGTTAATGTGCGCCACGAGATCTATGTCACCAAACGTAAAACTTTGAACTCATACTTCCTTTTTTATTTGTTTACAATTTTTGAGCCTAGACAAATTCACGACTTTTTATATACATCTCCACTTATCACATCGTTTCTTCTGAATGATTATCTAGACTGGTTACAGGAATACTGTCTAAGATTTAAATTCAAATGGGAAGACAAAATCGATAATTTAGAAAAATATATAACTCCAGTCAGTGGTTAGATGTGTTGGGTAACACATCTCAGAGTCAGGCACAATGGTGTCGACGAAATCGCTAATTATTTTTCTTTAGCTTATCACTCCACAATCCCTTCATACATACTTCGACTCTTTTTCTCAAACCAATTTTCGGATTATAGTTGCCACAACATTATTTCGATTTCCTTTCTATTCATCATAATTTCGTTTCGCCATGTTCTATGTTCATTGTAACCTACCGACAATTGTAGTTGTTAAACCTTCGTTCGAATTAAGTAGGCACGTTTCATATCAACTATTCGACTATTTTAGATAACTATCAAGTGTTTTTATAATTATTCTTTGTTCATGTGACTTTCGAGTCCAGTCACATACCTTCATGAAATAACAGTAATACCTCATTGTCTGATTTATTAAAAATCAAAGTGTGAAGTAAAAACCATGTGCATTATAGGACGGTAGCGCAGTGGTTAACATGTTGTTGTTGCTACCTTGCCTATCGTGATGAAGCCACCGAGCTATACTGGTTGGAACAACCGTTTCTCAAGGTCCTACCATGTCAAGCAGGTCGGTTGAAGAGTAGTAAGACTAAAAGCAACAAACTCAAGGTTCGAAGACGAAGTCGTACTGCTGACTGTACAGAGGTGTGACAGCAGTAAGGTGTTTCCTTCAGACAACCAGCATGACAGCGATGCTGCCTTCCCACAAGGAGGGGTGGGGTTAGGAAAGGTCGACCCTAAAAATGCACACCTCAGCTTACTTCACGGATTTCTGTCTCCGGCGGTAAGGCCCTTTGAAGAACGGAGATAACGCGTCAAAAACCTCCCACGAAAAGGCCGTGCGTGACCGGCCTCAAGCAGTTGTCCCTTGGGCACTGCGGTCACGCTCCCAGGTCACTAAGACCACCTCTAATCCAATTTCCTTTTCAGGTACCTCCAGAAGAACCCTTCCACGGAGTGGGCAACCGGGAAGTGATAACCGCCCTCATACCTCTAACAGCACTCAAGACCATTGTATTCATAATCAACCCCCGTCTTCAATTCCTATTATTCCTCCTACATCGACTTTCACCTCTAAACTTCCTTTTTCGGCTTCTCCCTCAAGTGTCACCATAGCCAACGATTCCAGTGCGCAAAACACTATCCCAGGTCTACTGAAACCTCGCTGCAAACTACACATTGGAACCTTCAACGTATGCACCCTATGTCAAATCGGTCAACAGGCTTCCTTGGCTAAAACCCTAGAATCTCGTACCATTGATGTATGCTGTGTCTCCAAAATACGCAAACAGGATCCTAGTGTGGTCATTCACTTGACCTCATCTCAGCGAAACGGAGAGCCGACGAGATACACCCTCCATGTATCTGGTGACCCGATGGCAAGTTCTCGTGGACTGGCAGGTGTAGGCATAGCACTAAACATGAGGGCGGAACAAGCACTGTTAGAGTGGATCCCCGTTAACAGTCGTTTATGCTGTTCGGCAAAACGGATCCGTAAGAACTCGGAAGGATAGGGACACACGTCGTTGCCTTTTTTTCGTTTCTACCTACGCTCCCACTGACTGTAGCTCGGATGAAGTGAAAGATGAACTTTACAGAAAGCTCTCTGAACTTCTTTAGAAAGCTAAACGTTCAGACATAGTACTCGTAGGAGGTGACTTCAATGCCCAGATAGGCAGTTTAAACAAAACAGAAAGGCATTGTTCCGTTGTACTATTTAAACTTGGATTAATTTAATTTGGTTATTCTCTGAAGAAGTGACTTACACTAAGCCACGAAACGTCAGAAAAATCCAATTTTCTACTCATTGGGATATTACAAATATATTATTTTTATTTATAACAATCAACCCAATGCTCAATTTATTCGAAATTATCAAATCAAACCTTGGTAATGACACCTAAAAACAGAAAGGCATTTAGATGGGTATTTTAGTATTCCAGCACAGCGAACAGATAATGGTGATCATCTGCTGCAACTTTGCTCAGACAATCGTTTATTTTTAGCAAACAAATTTTAAGCATAAGGAGAGACATCGTCTAGAACGGCGATCCCCTAAACCAAACTAACGATGGACTCAAATAGACCATATTGCCATCAGTCATCGTTGGAGAGGGTCGGTACAAGATTGTCGCTCATTCTGGAGTACCTGTTTGGACTCCGACCATGCTCTAATACGGGCACGCATCTGCTTGAGCCTCACTGGACGCAAAAAAACCACACTAAAAAGACCCATTAGAACTGAATTGAGTAACGAGAAAACCAAAAGTAGGTTCCAGGAACAAATGAGGTCACACTTAGGTAGTTCTGAAAACGAGGCTGACCCAGATGTTGCTTGGAAAGATATACAAGCAGCTGTGGAAACAGCAGTGACATCTATCAATGATTTAAATCACAGGGTTACAAAGAATCAATGGATTTCTTCAAGGTCTATTGCACTGATGGATTCTCGTAAACTCATCCCATCAGACTCTGAACACGATGAAGAGCGAAAAGAAATCAGATTTAGGTTAAGTAAAAGTCTAAGGAACGACCGTGAGCAGTGGTGGGAAACGAAAGAAAAAGAAATGGAAAAGGTGGCTATAAGGAACACAAGACAGTTTTACAGACTAGTAAAAGAATAAGTCAAGTGTAAGTCAGACTATCTCGGAAAGAGACGACACTCTCATCTGCTCCCAGTCCAGACGTTTAGAACGATGGACGGAACATTTTAGAGAACAGTTCAGCTGGCCTTTACAACTACCCTGCATTCCCAGACAGTGTGAATGGAACATTGAAGTAGATCCCCAAACTCTAGCTGAAGTTCAAAAGGCTATAGTTAATCTGAAACGAGAAAGGGCAGCTGGTCCAGATGGATTGGCTCCAGAGGTGTTTAAGGATGGTGATTTAATTTTAGTGATTAGGTTGACTGATATTTCAGCTAAAATCTGAGAGTTGGACGTTATCCCATCTGACTGGTCATAATCACTTATCGTCCCAATATATAAGAGAGGGTCAAAATCATCCTGTGACAACCATAGAGGGATTAGTTTAACTAATATAGTATCTACAATACTAGCCTCGATAATTATCGGACGCGTAACTAAGACTCGTGAACCACAAACACGAGAGAATCAAGCTGGTTTCAGACCTGGTCGTGGCTGCATCAATCACAGGTATACTTATCGGCATCCGACAATGGTGGCCTTTCTTGACCTAAAAGCAACTGTAGGAATGGTATCTTTACCTTAACCACTGCATCAGGTCCTTCTTGTTTATTGTTGAAGCTTTCCAGATATGTGAAAGCTTTCACCTCTTCCAGAGTCTCTCCTTCAAGTGTGATTGGGTTGGTGTTCTCCGTGTTGCAATCAAGGAGCTTGCTTTTCCTATGTTGTGTATGTTGAGACATACTGATGCAGAGGCTGATGCCACACTGGATGTCTTTATCTGCATTTGTTAGAGTATATAGAATAGAAGGAATAGGTCATATGTGAAGTCAAAATCGTCTAGTTGCATCCGAGCTCTCCATTGTATTTCGTGCTTCCCATCAGATGTAGAGGTCTTTATAAGCCAGCCAACCACCGGGAGAAAAAGGAAGGGGGAGATTAAGCATCATTATCTGTCCTCACTTAGAATGCGTCTATCAGCTATCCTCCATGCACTATTCTGCACTGTAATCCGTCCCATGAAATCCGGATGATGTTGACTGTTTTTTCAGGTATACCAGTGTCGAAGAAGGTTCCATGAGTTTCTCCTATCCACGCTGTCAAATGCTTTCTCATAATCAAGGAAGTCGATTTATAGTGAAAAATTCCATACAATCGGTTGTTCAACGATGATCTGTAGTACCCGAACATATTCTCAGTTACTGATCTACATTGATTGGGTCATGACAATCAATTATCTTTCCTAGTCCAAACATAAATGTTATGATCAGTTAGTGAGTCACAGCGTCTACGAAATTTCGAATAAGTCCATCCGTCAGGAGGATAAATGGTGACTTAAGTTGTTTACTTAAGCATAACATAGAATCATAGTGAATGGTATACGGTGTCTAAGTAAGGTTACTACCTACATCGACGTAGGATGCTGTCAAGTTAATGACTAGATGAGTCGGAGAAACCATTAGTTATAAAATAAAGGGAGGTGGCTTTAAGCAAAAACGGCACAAAATTAGTGGATTTATTGTCAAATTTATACCTACACGTTTCTCAATATTATTTCTTTAACTTTTGCCTTTAGTGATAATGACAAATATGACTACTAGAACTACTTAACTTATAGGTTTTAGTTTGCGTAGTATGATTTTGTCTATCATTTTAGGTCATGAGAAAATGAGATGTTCGGACAGACTGGCAGTATGGAATATTACCATTTTAATAGTTGATTAGTAATACACCCATTTTTTGCAACCAAATGCACTTGTTTGGATTTGTGTACAGCATTTTAATAGGCTATAAAATTAGGAAGCTCAAATTACGAATCTAACGTCAAATAAAATGATCGTTCTGAAAACATACCACTTACTTTATAACCAAAGTGATTTGCGAGTAAATATGAAATGAGCATGAACTGCAGTAAATCAACGCACCTGGTTGTTTAAAATTGCACTGCTATGTTCATACCTTCCCAAACCTGGAAAATCAATTGTCTGTTCCAAATCAACAGAGTACCACATAAATGATATTATATCCAGAATGTAAGCTTCATTCAATACTCCAGAAGCATCTGCACCCCCGATCATTATAACCAGTGGTCGGTTGCCCGTGTTCCCACATTTCATGCGTACAGCATGAGCTGAATGACCAACACGTGCAAGCGGCGACTTTCCTTCCAAGGTGTAAGACACGTTGCACCTATGGTAGATACATTCACCAGAAAATTAATGTAGTGTAAAATTTTATTTGTGAACAAGTAACATGACTTGGGTACAGAAGGTTGAAAGGAAACCCAGATTAGTCTGACTGGAATACTATGTTAATAACAATCGAAGCGTTAATATAAACGTTTTGGTTAAAGGGGGAGTGAATTTTGGAATGATGACGACAATGTGAGGTATCCCCAAGGCTGACTAAGGTTTCTCCGGCGAGACTAATTTATAAACGAGCTTATCAGAGGCATTTAAGAGATTTTAATGTTATGGCGCCAACTTCAGTGATCAGTACTAACGTACGATCGGTTCACAGGGAATTTTATATAAAACGTGATAATTGAGAGGCTATAACAAATAAAACGGCGGGACTATAATTTGTGGGCGAAACAATTAGGTACAAGATAAGTGATCTCGGATTTCAACACGAGCCTTTCATCCATTTGGCTAAATAGATTCCTGGAACTATAGCTGATGTCAGTTCGTGATGAAAACCCCATATATAATTCCTAACTAAGTCAAATTACGACAATTATTGAGAACTGGATAATAAAAGCACCAGTAACACTGGCTGCAGCCAGGTACTACAATATATAAGGATGTTTGGAGAGCGTACAGACTCCTACATAGGCTTGGTTGTGTGTATTGTGCCGTTATCCACAAGTAGCATTTTGTGCACCCAACAACCGGAGTGCACATAAACGATACTGAAGCTATGTGGTCGAGGCTGACAGAGTTTTTGAGACTTTATCATGGCTCCAGAGGCCGACCATTCTGTAACCGTATGGATGATTTCCTCTACTGCATGCAGTACGATTTTAGAACCTCTGAACCTCTTTCTAACCTTGACAAGTTTTTAAACCATGTATAAGAAGTGTATCCACTTTGTTTCCTTGGTTTGGCTAATATTGGCTAATATTTCTCAAGTTCGCTTAAGATTCGTTCAAAGATCGTCCATAAATTAGAGTCGCCGCTGAAAAAATAAGGGAACTTCGGGTATTTACATAGATACTAGGGAAACTTATTCTCTCGAAATGTCGAAACTGTTTTGCTGAACAGTTGAGTGTATAATTTCTGAACAAAGAAACCTATTGCCGCATTGATCATGTTGATTACTGGCGGGTGACTGACCGGCGTCATAGGCTTCGACAACTTAGTCTTCTTCACTGGGACAGCCACTGAAGAGCTCATGACTAAAACTTCAGACCAAAATACCGAATACTGGACACACAAAAAAAGAAATACCACGAAGAAATTTATTCTACAGCCAAACCTACCAGGAGCTGCATATATTCAGTTTTTCAAGTAACTTATGCATACTATAAAATTATACAAAGCTTCGACCGCTGGGAAGAGTTTTTTCGTAACGAAACGTTTTTCTTAACGACAACCCCGTTGTTACCGCTGCTGGAGTAAATGGAAAGAGATGATGAATTTCCAAACGTCAGAAAACTGTGATTTAAGGGTTTTTTGATGTTCAGACGGTAAATATCACGTGCTGGGTCTTCATAATATCTGTCAACAATATCATTGTCTCCTTTAAGACTTTTCACCATTCACATAAGAAACAAACATGGAACCAACATGTTGAAGTGCTTTTCATTTATCCTGAAATTATATTGAGTGTTGTGAAAGATTATAGTATTTACTGTGTAAGACGTCTTGACACAGCTGTACAGCTGAAGAGAATAACAAGATCGGCGACCGTTCGATAATTGTGCGAAACAAAATTACTCTAATTGATGAAAAACGTTGAAGTAAGCCAGCGATAACACAGTCCTGTTGAGGAAGACTCTGCAAGTGCCACTAGAAGTCAAAAAATAACCTTTCGTACCTGTAACACCGACTACACCTCGAAAACGCCGCGCGGTTGTCTAGGTTACGCCGTTCGAACAATTATTAAAATAAAACTCGTTCGGCTTTCAAACTACTGGGGTGCACTTTTTAGCTAATTTATGTAGCTTCATTACTGTGCCTGATCATGATTATTTCGAACGAACACCACAGCACTATGTGTAGATCCAAAATATTTAGCGATATCAACACTTATCACTGATATCATTCTTCTTAGTTTTAGTGGATACTACTAGGTTGAGAGCTATAATCAGATCTTGACACGGCTCAGGTGGCACAATTTTGCTCCTCCGAACAGTCAGTGTAGAGATACTAAAATACCCAAAACAAATTGTTCTGTAAGTCTACAACATCGACACTAACCTCATTAGTTTTACTGAGTGAACACGCATCCGCACCAGATCATTATCTATTAATCAGTGCTACGCATCCCTAGTAATAAGTATTGTGCCTTTATTATGCACTGTTGATTTATTTACCGCTACAGGAGTCCTAGAACAATGAAGGTAAAATCAAACTTTTACTCAATTCAAATTTATTAACATAGCTCATCCTTTTAGTTTTCAGTTGATTTCTACAACATGTTTTTTAACTAATGAGCGTGTTGCACACATTGGGACATAGAAATACCTCACACCAGAAGCACATAAAACTAATGCGACTAGAGGCTACTCAACTCCGCCTGTAGCTCTTCTATGGTTACTGTTGTTCACAAGAACGGGTCAGAGAGGGTTGAGTGTAGAGTCAGTCACCCTATAGGATAGAAATCAACTTTCCTAAAAAAACGCTAATCAGAATAAAAAAATTAACTCATTCCAACTCTGTTCTCAAAGTTCAAGGATATTCTGTGAAAGGAAACATGACGCCTCATCGTGAAAGTCCAAATTCTTGCGGATTCACGAAGTTGACGTCCCTTATAACAACTAGAGCAACAATTCGTGTAGGTACATGGAATTTTCGGACAATACGGAAGACTGGAATGGTCAGTCAATTAGCTATGGAAATGAGAAAAAACGAATTCGCGGTTTTTAGCATATATGAAACCCAATGAACTGAAAACGGAAGGGAAGAATAGAATTAGTAGAGATACTGTTGTACTCTAGTCACCAAGAAGAAAATGCTCCACACACTTGGAGAGTTGCTATGATGCTGTTCAAAGAAGCACATAATGCACTGATAAGATGGAAATCTTACGAACCCAGGTTATAACAACTTCTTGATAAATAGATTGTTATGCTCCCTCTTGTTATACTGTTATTTATAAACGTGATTCTAATTATTATACCCATATTTTTACATGTCTCTGTAATATCTGTGCATACGCTACGCAGTCTCTCATTGACTCTGTAGTTCTTAGTCTTTTCGCCTTACTTAAAAATTAACATACTCTGTATTCATTGATTTTGTCTAATTGCCGATGTGATCAATCAATATTCTTTAATAGTTACTGTGCTTGTTTAATTCATGTGTGCAATATATGCACCCTTAGTGCAACTAGTACCCCACTTCTAGCTCTACGTGTCACTAAAGTTATCGGTGAGCGAAAAGTGTAGAAAGTCAGAAAATATTTTTCAGTGTCATGCATCGTCTTCATTTAATTGACGTTTATAAAAAGTACCAAAGTGGAACTATTTTTCTTACTGTTTAAAGAGATTTTAGTCAACATTTCTGTGTCGAAGGAGTATAGTCCTCTATGTTCTACATGTAAAGTACTTAGTATAAAGTTCGGAGAGTCAAACATCATCAAAACCTCTCAAATGATATACAGTCCACTTTTTTCAAAGCTACTAAGTTTTTTAGTTCCTTTCTAACATCAAGAGGAAAAAACAATAAGTCCTAGCCATCCTTTGAACATGGAATTGATGTGAGACGGGGATGCATCACAGAGTAATAACAAGGCTTGATATAAATACCGACTAACAACAGTAGTATTTTACTCAAACAATAGCTGTCGAAAACTCATAATATCCATTTATCTCGCATATCCAATATTTGTTATTGTATTTGTTCTCGCGGTTTTATTAGATTGTGTGCTACTGTAGGGGAAAATAATGTCAGATGACTCGGTATTGGAAGAACAGCTTGCCGAAATGGTAGCCTTTGAATTAGGTCTGGACACCCTAAATTTTGATTCCAAGTCATGTCCCACATCGTTGGGAAGTCCTTCACCAGTCGACTTTTATTTACAATATTTGGGGTTATATTTGATGAAATCTGATTTGATCAATGCAAGGTTTTTATATAAAAGAATGCCGCTCAAAATTAAGGAGAATGATTCGATCAAGTGTTTGTGGGATCTTGGTCGGTTCCTTGTGCGAAATGATGCGAAGTCTTTTTTCTCTCGAGCTTCACAAGTTCTGACAGATCCTAAACAGCCTGATATGCTCGTTCAAATGGTCAAACAAATTCGTGATAGACAGCTCAGCTCAATTACAGACCTTTTTTCTCGCGCATACTCACACATATGTATTGATTTCTTATGTGGTTACTTAAGTATTTCTTCCCAAGATGTGTCCGAACTGTTCTTAGGAAAAGGCTGGGAAGTCTGTCCAGACAGCCGTTTTATATTCCACTCCGGTGAACTTGCATCAAACAATCATCAGGCATTATGTTCTGAGAATGAAACAACGAATAATGACCTTATGAGCAGGTTATCTGAATTGATGTGTTTTATGGAAAATCATTAATAATACAATCTTAAAATATAAACAGACTTCTTGATTAGTTTCTGTTTCCTAATTTCAGTAGATTTTTTAATTTAAGGTGATTGATTATGGACCTGACGAGCGTCGGATGTATTCAACATCCTAAATCTGCTCCAGTGTTCTCACTATGCTGTCCTGAATGTAAATTCGCTGCTACATCAACATTCGACCTCCGGAAGCATGTAATGAGTGTTCATTTGGATCCTTCAGGAGTTCATTTTTTTGAGCTGCAAATTTTCACCTGTTCTGTTTGTGGTGTATCATCAACTAATCATGTTCAAATAAAAGATCACATTACAGTTCACTTGAGAAAGCGTAAGGCGGATGAACAAGTTAGTTACATTTTTAAAAATCGTAAAAATCTGATTTCATTTTCCCGAAGAAGAGATTTTGTTGTTTCACATCATAATCAACTAAATTCATGGTCATAGATATGGGCCTCATATAGGACATGTTACATTTATGTTTTATTGTAGTTGAAAGTTTAAATCTATGGGTATGTGGTAATTCGTTGAGCCCCATTTCAACTCGACTTTGTTCTAGTGGTTTATAAAAAGGTCGATTAAGTAATGAAACTAGTTCAGTATTAAGAAAAGATGAAAAATGTAAAACGAATGAATCTAGCTATGATACAAAGAAGAACCATATTCCGCTTATTCAGTTATAAAGCGAAGAGACGTGAAGCTTTGCGTATCTGTACTTTATAGTCATAAGTTGAGGGCGATACGCATTTATATCTGACCATTGGATTTTCACTGGTTCATTGGTACCTTGCAGTTTTAGTTAAATCGCCTTGATTTTTTAAGTTTGACTCTTAGTAAGTAAATCGTACTTTTATTGACTTCTCTTGTCGGTCTGATTTTCATAATGAACAAACTCTTAAATTACTTGTGTAACATCTAGTGTTGGTTTTTAATAACTGAAGATATTTTCCCATCGGTAAAGATTCTTTCTGTCTCTGTCTTTCATAACTTCAGCAGAGCGGGATGATCTATAAAAAAGACATCCACTTCACCTTCAGTACCAACTAATGATACTATTTTTAAAGCTAATTAATTTTAATGATAGGATTTTAAAACTGGAATTTTTACTCAGTAAGGTAAGCCAACTTAAAGTTTAAACAAAAAAATATACAAAACCTGATCAAGAGCTCTATGTAAAATGCACCTTATTGCAGTAGAGCAACAACACATTTCTGAATATTGACAACGAAAAATACATACCATTGATATGGTAAATTAGATTCATATTTCAATTTTGTTAGTTTTTTATAGAATGAGAAGTTTCACAGTTTTGTATTATCTTTGAAGTAACGGGTTTTTTGCTCTTTTTACCTCTTTTTGATTATTTCAAGTCTGTAGTCATGGCTCAGCGTATTGTACTAGGTTCATGTGACGACGATGACTTCCACTGTTCCAGTGAGTCAGATGACGAAGGTGAAGAAGATCAGTCTAATACATCTCCAGAAAAAAAAGAACGAAGTTCAAAAAGTGTACCCTCTATTGGTAGTAATGACAAATCATGCTCTAGTTTGACGTGTAATATGCCTTCTGGCACTCAAACCAACCTTGTTCCTTCAGATTCTAAAAAAACACCAACTCTTTCTATAAAACCTAATCGACACGTTTCGGGCAAACAACCTCGTGTAGTTTGGCAAGATTGGTCAAAGCTGATTACACGATCTGATAAGAAGTTCATATGTTTAGTGTGTAGGCGATTTATATATAGTGGTCGTACTGAAGTAGTTTTTCATGCAGTT